TAATAATGGTGTGGAGAGGATGGCTATAAGGGAAGACGGGAGGTCATCAATAAAAAAAAAACAAAAAAACAATTTATTACATTTCTAAAGAAAACTGGATTATATAAGAGAACAATAGAGTATTTTGGCACACACTCCAGAAGAGTAAATGGTGAAAATATATCTTAGATGCCAACTGCCAAAAAATCCAAGAAGAAGGCTCGAGTAGAGGTGCCATTCAGAGTTAAGGTCTCAATCCTCCCTGTAGTCTTCCCAGAGTTTCTTGGTTTAGTAAGTAGAGTTTTTGTTATCTTTTTAATAAATCAGTTGACCTTTTTATCTGAGTCTCACAAGTATCTGCACTTTTGGGTTTCACAATACATCGATTATGATAACTATCTGCAGTTTAAAAATGTAAAGAAAAAATGAAGTTTTAATGTGGCAAATATTTTAAGTTTCAACAATATTTTTGTGGAAAACATGCTTTCATTGAGCAGCAAATACAATACCAAATGGGGCCTCTTCTAACAAATGCAACTGCTGCAAATAACAATCTATTAAAGGTCCCTTTGAGCTGAATAGAACATGTAGGATAAATGTGGGGGGCCTCTGAAGCATGTTGCTCTGTCAGGAATTTGAACAAAGGGGTCATGTATTCTTTTGGTGTGAGGTCAGGTATAAAAGTAACCAGAGTGCATGGAGAAAATGTACAGTCCTTTTGAAGAACTGTTGGAACTGTAGGCATGACCATGGGCAAGGTACGGTACAGTCGCATTTTATAACACATATTTTGTATAGATTCTGAATTAAAATTATGTGAAAGTGTTTCTGTGTGGCATAAGGATTTTTTTCTTCTCAGATCATCTTCTATGAGGACAGAAACTTTCAGGGTCGCTCCTATGAGACCAGCAGCGACTGTCCTGACATGTCCTCCTACCTGAGCAGATGTCACTCCTGCAGGGTGGAGAGTGGCTGCTTCATGGTTTATGATCGTACAAACTTCATGGGAAACCAGTTCTTCGTGAGGAGAGGAGAGTACTCTGACTACCAGCGTATGGGCATGAGTGATTGTATCAGGTCTTGCCGCATGATCCCAATGGTATGGAACTTGCAATGCGGTACATAAGAGAACCTTGAGCAACAAATTAACATTTAAATAAACGTCTCTATGATAAATCTGTCTTTATTTTAAATTGCAGCACAGAGGCCAGTTTAGGATGAGGATCTACGAGAGGGAAGACTTTGGTGGTCAGATGTATGAAATGATGGACGACTGTGACAACATCATGGACCGCTACCGTATGTCTGACTGCATGTCCTGCAATGTGATGGACGGCCACTGGCTGATGTATGAGCAGCCCCACTACAGAGGCAGAATGATGTACCTGAGGCCTGGAGAGTACAGGAGCTTCATGAACATGGGCATGAGTGGCATGAGGTTCATGAGCATGAGGCGTATCATGGACTCCTGTAATTAAACACTAGCATTGAAACACAATTTTTAACAAAAATAAAGTGATTATCTTTTAAATGAACTGCTTTATGAATTAAACATAAATCTTTTGCAAACAAGTATTTAAAAAGCTTCAAGTTATGGAAGTAAAGAATTTACAGAACTGTGACATATTAAATCAAGTAAAACACAAGCTTTTAGTGTAATTCAACCGCATGAATGACATTTAATTGTAAATATAGTTGAAAAACAATTTGCATATTGTTTGCATTTAATTGCATATTTTGATAACTTAGTACTGGTCCTAATATAAAATATTCATATTCAAGCACTTGATTATTATACCTTTCTCAGCAATGTCTGAACTTGCATCTCTGTTTTTCCACTGATTTTGACCATAAAATTTTGAAGTTAATCAAATTTATTTCATTAAATACCCTTATTTAATCAGGCAAATCCTATTGAGATCAAAGACCTCTTTTGCAAGGGAGGCCTGAATCTGAAGGCATCCTAAAAAATACATGATTTTTGGACTGTGGGTGAAGACCCACACAAACATGAGGAGAACATGGCAAACTCCAAACAGAAAGACCACAGGTCCAAATCGGAGATTGAACCCATGACCTTCTTGTTGTGAGGTAACATTGCTATACTATACTAAAGCAGTCGAGCTGTCAAATTATTGCTGGGTTCACATAGCAAGATTTTGTCCTTCCAACAGATGCACCAGTTATTATGATGACTCTAAAAATAATCTTAGGAGATATTTCTGCCATGTTAACAGTGATCTGTTTGCTTGGAAGGATGTCAGTACCGCTCTGACCTGAAATTGGGGCTATTCAGTATGTTGCATTGTCTTGGCCCAGTAATCCCAAAGTGTGGACAAGGACAAGCAAGCACAGTTTGCTGAATGTGCCATGTACAGTGGTTTGCAAAAGTATTCATACCCCTTGAACTTTTCCATATTTTGTCACATTACAACCACAAACATAAATATAGTTCACTGGAATTTAATGTGAAAGACCAACACAAAGTGGTATACAATTGTGAAGTGGAAGCAAAATTTTACATGAATCAAAAC